GTTTGGGATTCATGGGGCGTCTATGCGGAGGAACGTAGAGCATTCAATTGCCTCGATGTTTACGATATGCGGGTGGGTCCATACAAGAGCTTCCAATGTGGTCTGCAGCAGCCATGAAACCGAAACTCTGACTGGCTAATCCCCACTCCTCCATGCAGCCAGGCAAACGAGAAGTCCCGGTTTGATATGTTTCAAGCAGACCCATCAAAGACAAGGCTCAGAGCTTGCATCACCTCAGTGGCACCGCGTAACAGAAGGAGGGAATCGGGAGACAGGAGGGGGGTCAGGAGACCAGAAGATTGAGGGACAAGATGCTCACAGGACCAGGAGACCAAAATAAGTCGAAGGATAGACAAAAGATGACTAAAGCTCGAAGCTTGCGGTATTCACTCGAGAGGATGCGCGAGAAGCATTCTAGGAAAGCCACCCGACAACGGTGGACATAAGCACATCATTACTCATGTGCCTGCAGAGGAAGGATGCAAGCGTGCGGCAGGCATCTTCTGGACTATAGAAGCCTCCCTCCTCGCCTGAAACCTACTGTATCCTCCGATGTAAGAGCTTCAACTTCAAGTCCGAGGGCTGCAAGAACAAGGTCGAGGCGGCCCGCCGATGCGAGCTCCTTCAATCAAGATTAAGGATCACCATAGGGGTTGCTACAAGGCTGATTTAAGGGATGCTACAATAGTCTATAGGGATTGTAAGGTTTAGGACTTCTGCATTGCACAGTCGCGGGCTGGCGTTGACGGATTCGCTGCTTGGTTTCCTGCTGGGTGAAGTGAGTTTATTTTCACAGAAGAACGGGAGACTTTATTGAATCAAGGCTACCCTATTGAAGGTTTCGGCGCTCACACTCGGACAATCCAGGCGAGGCATGTAGGTTCGGAGTCATACTAAGTGAGACGTCACTAAGAGGAGGTGTCAGTATAAACATTCACAGCTAAAACAGATGAAGTGACTGTATCCTGCGGACCCATCCTCTGTTCAAGATCTTGAGCTGAAAAACACAATAGAGAAAACAAGATCTTGAACTACCGAAGACAGATCACTGCCATGACACTACACAAATTGAGAGCGCACACAAGGCATCGACGCCCTGCAACCTGGTGGTTCAGCAGTACGAAGAGCCAAATGCCAGCATTTACCGGCAAAGGCGCAACCAATTAGTCGCACCTAACCAAAAGTTACAGTGTATGTTTCAAACTAAGTGCTGTAGAAGTTCACTGGTGAAACCTACGGACTATGTGGGACAGAGCAACTTCTTCAAGTATTCATGCATTGACTGTGTACATGCAAGCGGTTGCAAATTACGAATTATAATGCAGGCAGTTGCACACATGCAGTATTCCACCACCAGACGGGTCTGTCAGAACGGCAGACACTCATTGCAGCATTTCGGGCTACATGCATTGTTTCTTGCGTCTGCTGGTCAAGTCTTGCTCCAGTTTCTGTACGTTCCGCCACATGCCATGTGGGCTGCACATGTACAAGCCCTCAGGAAGTCCATGCACCTCGCAGTATGCCAGGGTACCAAGTGCAGATCGTTGTGCTCTCACCGCTGCCAGATTCCAGCGTCGATGCATGCAGTCATGCACAAGTGAATTCCCCTGACTCTGCCTTTCGATGTGGCCTCTTGCATCTTGGGGTATATCCCAACACAACATGTAGTGGGCAGAACTCAGCTGTGAGCGCCAACCAACCAGCAGAACGTCTCGTCACATACCCGGCCCATGCAATATACCAAATTCCGCGGTCCACCACATGCAGTACTGCGTAAATTCTGGCCCCAGTTGCCATACCAGCATTCGTCATTCCACATGACTGTCACCAGGGGAGCTTCAGGTCCATGCAGTATCACCAATCCCGCCATGCACCATGCAGAGATGCACCAGATGGCGGTTGCAGCAGCCATGGCACGCGATCGCAGGTTAGTGGTTTGGTTACAGTGTAAATACAATTAGTCGCCATAGAACATGTTCGGGAGCCCTTTGGGGGAATAAATGGTGAACATATGTTCATGCTGTATTAACCCCGCTGCTCACTGCCCTAGAGAGCAGGAGAGTCTCAGCTGAGTCACTGTCATGCACCGACTCAGGACGTGGAAAAGGGTTGCTAGAGTCGTCAAGTTGAGTGGGGAGCTGGGCAGTATAGGTCTCCTGAGTATCCACGTCAATTGTCGGCTCATGAGGTCTCAGGTTGAGGCGTCCCGCTTGCCAGACACCAGAGAGCTTTCGGAAGCGAAGCTTACGTTGGGTTGGTTGACCAGGACCAATCGGGTGGTGAAAGTAGTACTCCACTTCGCTGCTCTCTGGTGTCTGAATTCCTATGGCTTGCAACTTTTCTTCTACATCCCTGGGGATCGAAATTGTTCCCATAAGCGTGTAAGCGACAAGTACAACTCTACGACCTAGCCAGGGCTCAGTGCAGTGAAGGAAACGTTTACCACTAAACATTAGTAGTCGATCCCCCGGGATTTCGCAGACTGTGCCAGCAACACTCATCCCCATATACATTTTAGAACATGTGCCTGTCGGAGATTCGATCCAAAGACCACCGTTCTCGAAATTAGAAAGTCTGATAATACCCTGCGGATAGTGGCAATTTCTAAGATCCTTGTGAATATCCTTGCCGGCACTGTCCCTGATTATGACTGAACTATATCTGTGGTTTGGGGCTATGCGGCTAAGGAAGGCGGTGATCAAACTAAGAAGATGCATACAAGGTGCTGTAGCCAATGTCAACTTGGAAAGGTCCCTAGGGTTGAGCCCTAAATGAAGGACTTGGCCGCCATCCTCCCACATCTTGTGTTTTATTGAAACTCGGTCGAAGCTCTCCAAAATGGAGAGCTTCATCCGTTCAACCGAAACAACCAACCCCTGGTCAGCTGGCATGTCCGTAGTGGCATTCACGTCTACGGCCCCCCGCGCCATGCTCAAAAGCTGTCGAGGTCTGAGTAGCAACAGATCTAGAATTGACAAAGTAAACAGTATTAGAGATACACTCATCCTCCTCTGAGCTCCTGCTGACGTCGGGGGCCTCAGACCTAGAAAGCTCCACTACACTAAAATAAAGTTTCCCCTCCACCCAAGTAACCCAATCGCTGACCTCGGAGGCGGTGTTTTCCCTAATCTGAGGAGACACTGGGTCGCTGTGTGGGTCAAGCCAAAAGGGGGCAGCATCCATCATCACATCGTGTAAAAGGGAGTAACCTCCTAAAGGATATGAAAGCCGATTACGGGCAATAAGGCTAAAGAGGGAATCTACAGCGACCCGCGCAACCCCCGGTGGCATTGACCGCAGCTCCGACAACAAGCGTTCCCTAAACTGAAGGGGCGATAAAGCCATGACAATCAGAGTGAAGTACTGAAACTTGCTTGTCTCGTCATGAGCCTTGGCGGAATTGTGTGCAGGAGCCGATAATGCTCTTCCATCGTAGGGAGGGCTCTGCAAGAAAAGGGAACTCGGTCGCACAAAGGCCTAGCTTCCCCACTAGGCCACGCAAGGGGCAAGTTCCACCCTGTGTAGATACTGCTGTACTCATCCAAACTGGCGTACACCCGTTTTGCGGTGGTCTCAGCCCACCTGAAAAGCATATTATTATCATTGATGGAAACCGTATCCGGTCGGTCCTCCTCGTGAGAAACAATAGCAGAGATACACACATCCCAGATAGCGCACCAATATGGCCATAAAACACAACACGAGTTAAGGATAGGGAGGATCGCCCGCATACGTCGCAATCGGGTTAGAAGGCGGGAGGCTGCAACATACGTAAGAGCAGGAGGAAAAGCAAGCAGCAAATCGTTCAGCTCCCTTGCCCAAATGGCCCCTTGTTTCACCTCCTGACGGGCTGCGACTGTTGCAAGACTCATTGTCTAACCTAGAAACAGTCACTTACAGATTCTCTTCGAGCAGAGCTGCCAAGAGGCGCTAATGCATCTCAATAGTACTGTCTGTTCCTAGGTCGCATGCCCTGTCCCCTAGGTCTGTTTGCTAGTCGGAGGGTGAAAGGATACGGGCACGTGGGGTCAATGGCCTCCTCAAGGATATTGGCTACATCGCAGAGCAACAGGAACTGTTCATCCAGTGAATAATACATGCACTGCAATACAGAATTCTGATTATCCACTCGATGCTTGACCGTACCTACCAATCTCTCAAGTTTGGGCGCCAGGGTCTTCATGGAGTCTTCTATGTCTACCAGGACCTCACACACATTGTTGGGCAAATTAATGGCCTCGGTTGCAGTTGCCTTAAGGTCTCTCATTTCGATTTCGAGCTTCAGGAGGAACTCTTTAATATCATAAAGCTGGTATTCAAGCTTAGTAACCCGACGATCAATACGTGATACAGCATCCGTCCTCTCCTGATCAGCTTCAACCGAGACAACAAGACGCGAAAACATAAATTCATACAAACAGTTACTTGCAACGAAAACCCATTTACCGAAACTGAAGAGACCATGCGCAAAGACAATGATCCCAAAGGCAAGACCAATGTGCCAAAATGACCCTTCATTTAGCCCATCATCCAGTTCGGGAACATCGCCCATCCCGAGCTTGGGTGGGTAATGTGTTGTTTTGAGGCTGAAAGCTGCAAAGGCAGTTTAGATACATTATAAGAAAAGGTGTCGGGGGCCTAGGAAGGACCACTCGGTCGGGTTTGTTTTGCAGACTGTATTCTCAGTCGCTGTGGGTCGCACATGCAGGCAGAGTGTAGCATGCATTCATGCAGGCTTCAGACGCCACTTACGAGCATCCTCCGTGCATTAAACAAATTCTCATGCATTGGATTCACATACATGCAGTCGGGCGCCTAAGGAAGCAAAACAAAGGCAAGGTTACACCGTAATACAGAGAAAGGCATCTACCGATACGGGCTAGAGGGCTGGCTACCATGCATAGTGCGCCACATTTCCATGAATAGATGCATGGCTTGCATCGGATCTTGTCCTAGCGAGGGCCGACCCTGTGGGTCCCCTCCAAGCGCTGCAACGAGATTCAATGGCTGGGCTCCACCTCCAGTTGGGGTATTAGGGACATAAGGCGGAATATGCAAATCGGGGGATTGCGAGGGAGCAGGGCTACCGGGATGGAGGGTCCGAGCCGGAGGAACAGGTTGCGCAGGCTGTACGGGGTCAGGTGCCTCAGAGGGCTCCTGAGCATGCGGAGTTGCCTGCTGATTGAATTCCTCGAGAATCTCAAGTGCTCTGTTCAACTTCACATCTAATTCATTAATTTTCGTGCACATTGCTGCATTCTGGTCCTCTACCCTCTGCAGTGCATTCTTAATTTCGGTCATATCTCCGCCCATCAAACGGGACAGGTTTGGCCCTAATTGCTTCACACACTGCATCACTCCAGTGATGTGCTGAAAAATAGGCTCCAGACCATGTGTGCCCTTGAGCAGACGTGCCGCCTCCTGTGTGTGAGCCAGCACCTGTTTGTGCTCCGCTGCCAGGGCTGCTTGCCCTTTGCCCACGTCCACCACATCATTGTGCAGCGTGACCATTTGGGACCGCTCCGTTTCCCGCGAGGCGTTTGTAACCATGGAGACCCCGTTGGTGAGGCGGTCTTGGATCTGATCCATGGTCTCCTTCATATCCGGGAGCATATCCAGATGCGGGCGCTTCGCCATCAGTGCACTCACCATTTTCACTAACTCCTCTGAAGTATCCGTCACCGGCTGGAGCATAGCCCCGAGTTGCTGCAACAGAGGTGGTTCCGGGCCCACAGTCTTGTTCGAGACATCATCCACATCTCGTCCCAGGAATGTCTTGGTGCGGTGCCACACTTTGGCTCCCAAACCCGTCACTTGGAGCAGGTACAGGAGTGTGATCGCCGTGATCACAACCCATTGCACAACCGCCTGCATGTTGCAGTATTACACAAAAGCGTGAAGGCGTAATAGCGCAAGGTATGGTTCGAGCCCTCACGCCTACAAATTCACGGTGTGTCCTCAGATGCCTGCAGTCTTATCCCTGTTGACTCTCACTAATAAAACATGCAAATTACAAATGCGACAAAAATACCTAAGTAAATGACTCAGAAAGGCATACATCACCAGATACTCTCATTGTGTTGCACTGCAAGGGCGGAATAAATGGACCGCCCTGCCCCCCCCCCCCTAAGTGTGATTCTCAGATTTCAGAAATTCACGAAACGAAACGTACCTAGCAGTGCTAAAGTCCCACGATCTTTGAAGGACTTGTTTGGGGGCAGTGTTATAGGTAGGCTCGAAAAGATCTGCGCAACACAGTGGCACTTTCCTAGGGGTAAGAAAGCAACATGACAAGATGTGGTGTCTAGCTTCCAATGTACGCCACGTGCTCACCAAGACAGGGTCAACACAATCAAAACGTTCCGCTATTATCGCTCTACTAAGATATGGTGCCTGTACAACTACCGTCACATCGCCGCTATAGTGAGTTCGGAGGAGGTCCAAAACCTTGGCTAGGATTAGGAACCCGGCCAGGGAGTTGCTAACCTCTTCCTCAAAGAGGCTCGGGAGTTGTGTCACCAAAATGGTGTCGCGGTCGAATCCCGCAGATCCCACAACCAGAGTTGACCCTCCATCAAATTGCTTCAAGAGCAGAAGGGTGACCCCTTTCCGTTTCCAGAAGTCAGAATGAATCGGCTGAACATGTTTGAAGGTGAGTGCGTACGGGCTTTCAAACGGGAGGCACTTAGCAGGCCTAAGTGACGCCCAAAGTCCTCCAACCGCAATAAGTTGCTTCCCCAGAAAATAATCGGCTGGAGGGACCCTAGAGACAAAGGGGACCCAATGTGCAACCCAGAACGTAAGAAGCATGTTCCACACCTCTCTATCCTGTGCTGCATGTGTCCACTCCCTATATGTACTTCTAGGTCTGAATTGTGCGAAGCACTTTTCAATTTTCCGTGCATCAACATCTATGATGTGCGCAGGACGTACATATCCCCTCCGAATACGAACCCAATGCAAACTATCAATAACCTGTCGAACAGGGCTAAGGGGGTTTTCCCTGACAGCATGCCCCCAATAGGTCCAGAAGCGAGTGAGCCATTGTTTACTCCATTGGGGCATGTTCGGGAGAACTTCACACAGATGCTTTACTGCACGGCGCCGGCTAACTTCATTAGTTACCCAGTCTAGGAGCCCATCTGTAGGAAGCCTAAGAAGGCTCAGTAACAGGGTGTTGCGCATGGACTCTACCTTTCGTAGGACTTTAGTAGTAGGAAAAACCGCAGGCGAAGCCCAAAGCCATCTGCTACTGACATAGGTTTGAAAGATGGAGACTTTCGTCGTAAGTGAAGCATGCGTGGAGTCCATGATCTTTTTAAAAGCATAGTAGCTACTCTGGCTCTTGCGCAAACAGTGAAAGAGGGTGTCCTCAGTGCTCACAGTATATCCAAGAGGAATACCAAGAAAGACAAAAATAGGATACGAGTTCAATGGAGTACAAGACCTGGTTCCCCAAATGCCGTAGTCTTCCTGGTTCGGGCCTCGAAGGACTGAACATTTATTAAGATTGAGGCGTAACCCTATTGCGTCTAGCGCCGCTTGCACAAGCCTGAGCCGGTTTTGTAGGTCCGATGGGTTTCGCCCAATCAGAAGAATGTCATCGGCATACATTAATAAAGGAGGGAAAGAGACACCTCCCGCAACCACGGGCTCATGGGTGCGAAGATGTGCAATGATAGGTGCCAAAGTCCATGCCACTACCCTACCGAAAAGTTCAGCGCTATATGAGGTGCCTTGCAGAATGCCCTTACCTAATTTCTGTTTCCAGCTTGTGCCCCCAACTTCCAAGAGAACTTCATTGTAGGTCAGCAGATTCCAAAGTGCCCAGGACTCCTTATTTGGGGTGCCCTCAAGGAGGTATTTCGCAATGGCCCTGTGCGAAACGCTATCAAAGGCAGCTTTAATGTCTAATTTAGCAAAACACAACGGCGAGTCGAGCCTATTACTGACAGCGATAGCGGCCTTAGCTGTATTAATTCCGTCCATAGCCTGACGTCCAGGCTGGCAGCCTAATTGGAGCGGGTCGCATGGTGGTAAGTACAACCGCATTCGATGCATAAGAATTCGCCCGAAAAGTTTCGCTACCGTATTCGTAAGACAGATCGGTCGAAGATCCGCCGCAGTGGCAGGCAGTTTAATTTTGGGGATGAAGCTAATGCGCCCCACTTTCCATTCCGGCGGTATGTCACCACTGTCAAGAATGGCATTAAGAAAATCACAAAAGGAGGAACCAAGATGCGACTGCACGATTTGCGATAACAAAGTATAAGGTACCCCATCTTCCCCCGTGCAGGTTCTGGGGTCAAGTTTAGCAAGGTGAAGGGAGACCTCAGTGCAAGTGATTCGTTGGAGCAGTGTAGGGCAATGTTTCTCTCTAAGGGATGTGACCAGAGGCTCCAAAGGTGTGGGGTCGTCGCAGGCATACTTACACTCATAGAAGTGTTTGACCGATTCAACAGCTTTCTGACTACCCCCTGCACGTTGTAAGAAACCAGCATCCGTGGCTGAAGCAGCTGCGCTTCGTTTGAGGAAGGAGATGACACGCCTATCCCCCTGTTGCGCCAAGGACAGGAGGTTGGTTTTATGTTCTTCCTTGGCTTTCCTCCTGGCTTCATGAATACCCTTAACTAGTTTCTGTCGTTCCTCGGTGTCTGTTGATGCTTTACGAGCAGAAATGAGCGAGACAACAGAAGGCGGATCTTTATAACGCAAGCTGGGCGGCTTAGTAACAGAGGCTTGTCGAAGTTGGGTCAACATATCCAGAGTGAACGGTTGGCCTAGCTGGGTTTGAAAGGCCTCCTCGGCCCTCCCAACATCAACATCCCACCTACCACAGAGGGTTCGCCTATACGTGGGTCGCAAGAATGGGTTTTTAGCCCGAAGAGTAATACAGAGAGCATTGTGATCAGATGGTAGTCCTAGACGCAAATCTTCACGATTCTGAATTTCCCCTTCGACCCCAACCCCTCTGAAAAAGGAGAAGTCAATCTTGGAAGAGCACCCCCGTGCAAACCAGCTATCCCCCTCGTATCCCTGCATGCGCAGGTCATTCTGCGCGATCACTGTGCGGAAGTGTGGCATCTCAGAAAAGGTGTCATAATGCAGTGTGTAGTCCTGATTGAGATCCATAGTAAAAAGGACGACGTCATCTGGGCGTGGTCCCTGCAGAAAAGTTGCAATTTCCCTAATCCCATGTTCCCAGACAGTTTTGGCATCCGGCCGTTTGCTATGAGGCAAATGACAGGTGAGAAGGTGCACCGGCTTTCCCCCTTTAGGCTTCAACGTTATCCCTAAGCCCACAGTCAGAATTGTCGAGCCGGCCACATAGCTTGCAAAAGGGTGACGAATTGCAATGCAGACATGCCGAAAACCGGCAGTAGCATCCACATGAAAACACGAATACTTCTCTGTTCCACTCCATACCTCAAACGATTGCACCGAATTGCCTCCTGCTTTGCCCAGACCTCCTACTTCCTGTAAGAGTAAGACGTCCGGAGGGTGAACAACCCCGTTTAAGGTGTCCAGTACATCTTGAACTTGTTTACCCCGGACATTCCAGTGAATGGCCCTAAGGTCCATAAACCTAGACTCATAGGCCACTCGGGGCCTTCCGTGTTGCGACCCTAGTGTCTCGTCATCTCTGCCGCATCCCTATGACTCACATGCTTGCAAGACATCATGGGCACTTCGTCCCAACAATCGTGCAACGTGCTCTGCGTCAATATACCAGCCGTTGTGCGAGCCTTTGATATCAGTATGGAGGTAATGCTCTCCATGCGGCGGTTTCTGGGAAACATGGTGCAGCACGTTCTCCCCGTCAAGATATACTCTACCTTTCCATTCGAATTCAGTCCTAGAATCTGGCTGAGCAAGTGATTGCAGCACATCCTTTGTTCTAAGAATACTGCGGATCATTTGTCGATCCTCCGGTGATCGGTTCCTTTGGAACCACAACTTGCTAGCCTGCTGACCCGCTAACTTAGTGGTGAAACTGTCCTTGAGGACTTGTAGTACTTGTGTTTGAATGCGACGGCGGTGCGCAAGGTCGGCGTGCAAAGGGAAGTTGAGTTCGAGTCTCGCTATGTTTGAGCGTAAGTATGGCACATACACTTCTTTGAGAACTTCCGGACCTCCATGTGCCTCGAAGAATCCCCTGATTTCCGCCTGAAGCTCAGACCTTTTTGCATTGACAAATCCCCCAATGACGATCTGCAAATCATCGATAGTTCTTCCCCCAGTACTGGAAGCGGTAGTGGAGCCCAGCGCCCCTCCACGTGGTGTTAAAGGTCCACGGGGCGTATAGGGCGAAGAAGGTCGGGATCTAAGATCAGCAATCTCCCGTTCTAGCTTGGTAATACGGCTCTCATGCTCGGTATGAAGTCTTTCATGCGCCTCCGTGCGTGTTTGCAGGGTAGTGATGCAGTCCGAATTCTTCTTTGTATTGGTTACACATGCAGAAAATTCATGCAACAAATTATCCTGCTGAAGTACTAGGCGCTGCAAGTCGTTCTGAAGGCCCCTAAGCCACGGAGGATCCTCAGAGCCCTGATGCCCTGCTGGCATAGCAGGGGGAGCGTGAGTGGGAGGGGGCAGTGGTGGCGGATTAGCCGCACGCGACGGACTTCTGTTTGCCCGAGGCTTGGGGGACTCGAGGGTTGTGGGGGCGGTCCCCAGGCCTGGTGGTACCGGAATCTTGTTAACTGCACTGCTAGGACTAGTGCCGGTAGGGGGCCCCGTGCTACCGATTGGGAGTGAGCCTGCAAAATGCGGTGGGGCCAAAAGCCCTCCCGTGTGCCCCACTGTCAACGGATGTCCCTCTAAACCCTTTCCGAAATCTGGGGATCCAGTGTTGCGAACATGCGCTGGCGTGC